GAGAGAACGCGGTTTCCGCATAATGGGAAGATAACTCTGCCAGAAAGAGAAATGAAGTCCTGATGCAGGCCGCGGATGAACTGTGAAAGCATTACATTAGGTGAAACATGTCACTCACCAAAGGACACGACCTAAGAGCTAAGCATACAGAGAGAAGACCACGATGACTAGTTGTTGGCAGGGCTGTGAGGGAGTGTGCTTAGGGGGCACCGAGCTTATTTGCTGGTGCTGGGATAGCTCAGAAAAGGATGCTACCGGTGGTTACACATGAACGACGTCATCAAGGCCACTGAGTTTGACACAGAAACATGGTTGAACTGCTGGAGGCTTGGGTGTGTATATCTCAACACACACACACACAATTAATGAGGCCAAACTACTTTTGAAACTTTAATTCAGGATGGGTTACTGCACACTAAAACAGTAAGGGGGGGTGGCTACAAACAAGTGATTATATTCTTTCAAAGCCATTTTTCTATTAACACTTTTGAATCCCCTGAATACGACTCAATGCAAGTTACTCTCTATGTCTGTTTTTCATCTAAAAATTAATTAAAGGAGTATGACAAAACTCACAAGCATGTTGCACACATTTGAATGATAAGATAGTGTTTATAAAGCACTTGCGGATCTATGGGAAACAGAAGGATTTCTCCCAAGTTGTCTCCCCCAAATATATGCCAGACTTAGCTGCTTGAGAATGACTGTACACTTGGAGGTCATCAGGAGTAGATTAGGGGTCATTCTCCCTCAGAGCTATCAGCCATCTAGACCAAGCAGACACCACTGTTTATCCCACAACAAGTCGGGCCCACTCCCTTCTGATAAGGATAGTAGTTGTCTGTTTCCTTGTAGGAGACACCAGAGAGGTCAAACCCACCCAAGGAGGACCAAGGTTGGGCTGCCATCATGCATCTAAGGTCCGCCCATCTTGTCACATGTATACCCCTAGACCTTCCCATTCCTATGGGGACACCCCTAGCTCATCCCCTTCCTGTTACGCTTATGCCTATCATAGATCCCCTTCCTACAATGTGTATGCCTATTGTACTGCCCCTTCCTGTGACGTGTGATTCTGTAATCATGTCCCCCTAAAGTGATATAATGCGCAGTTAGCAATAAAGAAAAAAGGCTCTCTCCGGAGGCTGGGAGGCTCTCCCCGGTCCTGGCAACCTGGGGCCCTCTCTGGCTCTGGCCAGGGGAGGCTCCCCGGTTCTCGGTCCCCGAGGCTGCTCCTGCTCTCGTGGCCGGGTTCCATCAAGCGGGGCTGAGGTGAGCAATGCTACCATGAATTGTGTCTGACTCCATTTATTCCAATCTCTCCTCTAACTCTCATGCTCTCTATGACTTTACTATAAGCCTTATTATTGCTGTACAATTGCGCCTAGCGGACCCGTGACGATTTGTGGGAGACCCCTCTCCCCTTAACCCCACACGGATCCCCGGTGGTACACTGGTTAAGTGCTTGGCTGCTAACCGAAAGATGGGTGGTTTCAGCCCACCAACCCCTGCGTGGAGAGAAGACCTGGAAAGCCCACCTGCTCCCATGGGGGCGGTAGCCTAGAACAGTCTGTGGAGCCCTTTGACTGTCCCGTGGGGGCGTCACAAGTCAGAACTGACTGATCAGCAGCACCTCGCAACAGCAACAACAACAACAACAAAGCACTTTGCACACTGCCTTGGATACGGAAAGCATCCAGCAAGTCACATGGACTGCCCATTATGCTTATCAGACTCGGGGGTATTCGCAAGGCACCAAGCTATCTGTACGAGCTTTTTTGAGAAAAGCAAAAAGCCAGCGAGTGTTCACAGGCCAGGGTGAGGGCCAACAACAGCGTGAGTGGAAGGAGAGTATTAAGAGAGGAAGCTGAGGGAGACAAGAAGCCAGTATATGCCGGCCACCGCAGGGAGTGTGCTTGCTATTCTAAGCGCTAAAAGCTAGCCAAATGATGGAAGCAGAGGGTGATGATGGAGAGACTTAGGGGCAGGGGGGGGAGGGAGATGATTAAGAGGTCGCTGCTGTGGTCCAAGGGAGAGATGAAAGTTTGAATTAGGGTTGTAACATCAAGAGGCAGGGAAGCAGAGGACTGAATTTAAGGTAGAATGATTTTTTAATCAAATCGACTGAACATGCTGACTGACCTGGAGGGCAAGGGACAGAAAGGAACCGTCTAAGCAGCTCGGGCAACCAGATGTACGAGATCGGGGAGGGCTGACAGGGAACGAGAGAAAGAGCTGTGGCTCAGAAGATCGTTCTCAGCGATTCTAATGGGAATGGGTGCAAGGGAGAGGAAGAAGCGTATGCTTCAGGGCGCAGAATAAAACGTTAACTAGAGTTAAGCCCACTGCCATCTAGCTGATTCGGACTCACAGCAACTCTGCAAATCTTTACAGGAGCAGACAGCCCCAACTTTCTCCCAAGGAGTAGTGAGTGGGTTCAAACGGTCAAATCCTGAAGTAAGAAGCCCAAGCTGTAATCCACGACAACGCCTGAGCTCCCTAAATGAGACCGTGAAAGCCATGAATTCACTTGACTTACAGTGACCTCTGGGGAAGCATCCTCACCCACCCAGGGATTGCTGCTGCTGCCAGGCATCATCGATCGGTCCTGACTCATAGTCACCCTCTGTACAATGGAATGAAACCCAGCCCAGCCCTGAGCCACCCCCACAAGTGCTCACAAAATGTTTGAGCCCATTGTTGCAGCTACTGTGTCAATCCATCTCTTCATCGGCCTTCCCCTTTTGCACTGTCCCTCCACTTTACCCCACTTTACCGAGCATGATGTCCTTCTCCAGGGACACAGGAGTTATCCATCCTACATAGTCTCCTGCTGACCCACATATTGAAACTTCTCTTGTTCTTTACTGACCTCACCTCTAAGACCCCAGGTCTCGACAGATGCTGCTTAATGAATTTTCTATTGGAGGAGTTCCTTAATGACAGCTGGTGATGTTGCTGCATGAGGTATGGAAAGACTTACTCTCAGTCTCCAGGGGGCAGAGCAGGGCGGCATGGAACACACTGGTCCTCGCCCATGCTCCTCAACCTGCGTCCCCTGGCCTTCCTGCCCACCCTCTGCTCGCCTGTCAGCCAGCCAGCCAGCCAGCCAGCCAACCAACCAACACAAAAAGTTTGTGGATCAATGGAACTAAAAGATAATGGAATTTCCCCAAAAACTCTCTGAAGCTCCCTCCATGTAATATATAACTTTTTCCTAGAAGTTGTGTAGTCTAGCTACAGAGAAATAAAGTCCTATCATAC